CCTTAAAATTGACCTTTGACCTACTTTTCACCATGAACTGAACTTTGCAAATTTTGCTTTCCTTTTATCTCCAAAACTGGCAGAGATAGGTCCATAGTTACTATTGAACTTGAATAGGAAGTCATATACTGGCAATCTATATGTGACCTTGAAATTGACCTTTGACCTACCTTACGATGAACTTAACTTTGATTGTACCATTTTTAGTCATATATGTTTTTTGCATATTTTGAAAATTCTTGTTGATTGCATTTTTACAGCTTGTCAAGCACAAGACTGGTGGCTGTGTTCCTTATTTTGTGTATGTGGGGGTTTATACGAATGCGCTTGCTCCAGCTGGTGGTACAATATTCGGAGGCGGTATCGCCTCTCTGATCCTCTAGTTTTTATTCCAACCAAAAATTAAACTGTTTTTTAGAGGATTTCCAATGCTTTATTTTATTAAAACATTCTGGAAATAAACACATATTGATCTTTAATTTCAGTGGCTTCTCTCCAGTTCAGATAGGAATCTTGGATATTTTTGGATTTGAAAATTTCCCCAGAAATAGTTTTGAACAGGTTTGTTCAAATAGCAATTTTAATTTATTCTTGATTATTCAATATATATATACACAAAGTCTAATAGGCTGATTAAATTTGTGCCAGTCTTTGCATTTAACTCTAAAACATAGCTGAACAAAGACATGAAATGCAATACATATGATGTCTAGTATGCTGGTAATTACACACACACACACACACACACACACACACACACACACATAGTTAAAATTAGTTATGAATAGTTACAAATTTTAAAAAGAAATAATGGGAGTCATAATTATCAGCAGTCTGATTTACTTAAATCGATTTTGGTACACACACTGGTGCACATACACAAACAAACGCACACGCGCGCACACACACACACACACACACACACACACACACAAAACGGCCCATGCATTCACACACTATTTTATGAACAATTCAACTTGTCACAGTAATAATTGGTAAAAATATGAATTCCAGTAATATAAGAAACATTGAATGAATTATATAATTATTGTTACATATACACTGATTCAGATATAATTAATATGTATAGTAAGACATAACACACATACATCAATCACATGTACACAAAGGCCTTTATAATATACTTAAATTTGTCACAACAACAGTAACTGTTATGATTATTTATAACATATCACCTCTGACAGGCCTGTAGCGGGAGGGGGGGGGAGGGGGGGAGGGGAGTCGAAAGAACCACCCTTTCTGTCAGGAAAAGGTCTATTCTAGGTAAAATTTGATCTAGATGCCCATAGGTTTCATTGTAAAAGGTTCACTTTTTTGGAAAAAGAAACCCCCCTTTTGAAATTGCTGACTACGGACCTGTCTGACTATACATAATCAACTCTGCATTTCTTTACAAAATATATACATCAAGAATAAATTTTAATGAAAAAACATTGAAATAAAGTGAATATTTCTACTCTTAAGATATGCATCAACCTAGCCAACGAGCAGCTTCACCAGTATTTCAATGAGTACATCTTTGAACGAGAACAGCAGGACTGTGCTGCAGAGGGAATAGCCATGACAGATATAGCATTTATCAGTAACAAACCCACTGTGGACCTGTTTCTGGCGGTAAGTTCAGTATTTTTGTATTCTATGATATATGTTTGGTTATTGTACCACCAGCGTAGGCTCTGGCAGCACACATGGTTTTAGTCCTGACTCGCATGTTCTGCCGGCTCAGCTGTCACATCACCGTAACCGCTTCTCCTCTTAGACTACAAGATCCTGCATACCCGTCTCTTGGATTTAGGCCACGTATAATCTCAACTCAATCCATATAAAATTTGGGCTTAGATGGTGCTGGGGTCTAGGTGTGGCACTCATCACAATGCACCCTTGTCCAAAATTTGGGTTTTTATCCTTAGCGACTGTTATCTTTGACTGTTATCTTTGTTATCTTTGACCCTCCTATATTGTGGGATATTTATTACTACTTCTTAAGTCATTTTCTGGTGGTAAATAATAATCTATTTATTAGTGCATCTCGATTAAGTTATACTTACTTATCTCGAAAACATGTTGAGAATTATCTTCTCGGTAAGAAACATACCACCTGATAGAGGAGAAGGTTCAAGATAAGCCTAATTGCAACCTTGCATCATAACCTGGACGCGACATATTAAAAAAATTACGCACTTGGCAACGTTTGTTGCATGCAGGGCTTTTCCCAGAATTGAGAGTCAGGCCTTGTAAAATTACCATCTGTAACTTCCTAAAAATTTACAGGGAGTTAAAATAATGATCTCCCATTGACGATCTTCCACAATTTAAGTTCCTTGAACTAATATGAAAACTGCATTTTATTATTGCTTACATCACAAACAATCTCCCGATGAAGATGTGAAAATTAAAATTGCCTTTTCGTCTAGCAAGGATCGCGAACGATCTCCCTCTAATGTGATCTTACGCGAACAAAGTCCTGAGAATATTACGCAAACGATTCTCCGTCGAAGATATACTGTGAGCAGGGCAGGGGGTGCATTAAAGATAAAATAAAATTGAATATTTTTTAAAAATCCAAAGTGCGTGTGTGTGTGTGTGGGGGGAGTTTAAATAATGATCTCCCGCTGACGATCTTCCGTGAACGAAGTTCCCTAAATCCCTTGAACTTATATGAAAATTGCATTTCATTCTTGCTTACATCGTGAATGATCTCCCGATGATAATTTTACGCAAACAAAGTCTTGACGATATTACGCAAACGATTCTCCGCCGAAGATATGCGGTGATCGGGGAAGGGGGGTTAAGGATAAATCTAAAATATATATTATTTATAATATTCAAAGGCGGAGGGGGGGTTTAAAATAATGATCTCCTGCTGACGATCATTCGCAAACTAAGTTCTGCATTTTATTATTGCTTACATCGCGAACAATCTCATGATGAAGATGTGAAAATTGCCTTTACATCAAGCTAGGATCGCGAATGATCTCCCTCTGATATGATCTTACGCGAACAAAGTCCTGAGGATATTACGCGAACGTTTCTCTGCCGAGGATATACTGTGAGCGGGGGAAGGGG